AAGACAACTATATAAAGGAAGAACTAGAAGAAAATTGATGTGCTTATATTGTTTGCAGATATAATTTATAGAATAGCACAAAAGAGGGAACAAATACTGTATACAATTGACGTTAAGGTGATACTGTGAAATTAATTATTGAAATGCCAGATCAACCATGAAACATTAGCTGAACAAGGGAATTAAAATGGTACAAGATGATTAACCAAAAAAGTGGCAGTAGGAAAGGAAGAGGCAACAGACACTTAGAAAACAAATACCAAAATAGACATCAATTCTACCTTACCAGTAATTATTAAAAATGGAAAAATAGGCCTCCCCAGTGGCGCAGAGGGATGGGCGCAGCACTGTGGGGCTGTCCACAGCCTCTGCAGCGAGGGTTCTATTTCCGGCCAGCCAAGGCGCAACCCACATGGCGCAGCAAACCTCTCCTGTCTCGCCCACTGCACCCCTCTGCAGTGTTTTCGGCCCGTCTGCCTGTTCTGTTCCCTGCTTTGTCTCTGGTGAATTCTCTCACCCTACCGTGCCTCTGGCCTATACCCCAGTTCTTGTATAAATAAATAAATCAAAAAAAAAAAAAATGGAAAAAAAACCCCACTACAACCAAAGGTAAAGTTTGACCAAAAAAATTAAAAAAATACAATTCTATTTATATGATACACCTTTTTGATTCAAAGAAACAAAAAGTTTCAAAGGAAAGGGACAGAAAAAGATGTAACAGGCAAACAGAAACCAAGAGAGCTGGAATAACCATACTAAATAAAATAGATAAGATTGTTACTAGAGATGAAAAAGAATATTTTATTATAATCAAAGCATTATTCTATCAAGAAAATATAGAAATTATAATCATGTACCTTACAGAGCACCAATACCAAGAAAAAATAGCAGATACAGGAGAAAAAATAGATAATTCAGCAGTAAATGTATGAAATAGAATGTTTAATTGGAGAAAAATCAAGAAATGAAACAGGCAATAGTTAAAATCCTCAAATGCTTTTGGCTCACTGGCAACATTCATCTAACTACTCTTAATATTCCACCTATCAAATTTGTGATGCAGAGGCATCATTACAAAAGGGCGACATGTTGTGGACTAATGTGGTACTACAGAATATCAAAATAGCTCTGCATTATTAATGACTATAAACCCCATTAAAAAAATAATCCCCATTGGTCCACTTTATTTATTTTTTTAAAATTTTATTTATTTATTATTCATGCAAGCACTGGGTACAGTCAGAAGCACTGGAAGGTGAACGAATTCACCAGAGCCAGAGCGGGGAGCAGAGCAGACAGAGGGACCGAAGTACACTGCTGGGGGGAGCAGCGGGCGGCAGGAGAGGTCTGCGCAGCACTGCTGGGGGGAGCAGCGGGCGGCAGGAGAGGTCTGCGCACCATGTGGGACCTTCCTCCTGTGGCCGGGGATTGAACTGGCGCTGCAGAGACCGCGGGCAGCTTCGCAACCCAGCGCTCAACCGCTGCGCCACCGGGGAGGCCCCCCATTGGTCCACTTTAACAAAGACCTACATTAGTACCCGGTTTCACGAATCAAAATTCAAAGAGGATTTCTACTCTTGTAGCAAAAATACTTCCCCCCCCCCCCCGCTTTATCCCATTTTAGCTCATGAAAGTTTTCATATAAATGCTGTATTTTTCAACTTTTAAAAACTATTTTCCATTAACCTTACTTCCATTTTCTGTATGGCAGGGAAAACACTTACTTGCTGACAATTAAGGACACAAAACCTCCAGAAATTTGGAGGCAGATCCATAAAACTACAGGAAAATAGCCACTGTAATATGTAATAATACCAACCTACTTTGAAAGTGTCACATCAGTGAAGGTGGAGATAAAATTAATACTAGAAATGAAGTTCTTATCAAGACTAAAACATATTTTTGGCTCTTTAGTATTCTCAGATTGCAAAGCTAACCTAAGTTTATTATAACCAAGCTTGATGGGAGTGGTGAACCTAACATTTCCAAAAGGCGTATTTTGAGTAAATTGAGTATGCAGGCCTTCCTTTATAATCCACAAAATCTGCATTTGGGGAGTTTAAAGCATGAAAAAAAAGTTACCATAAAAGACCTGCAGTAACTGAAAAGACAAATACCACCAATAAACAGCTAAACCTACAATAGCGGGGCTGCGAAGCTGCCCTCAGGCTCTGCAGTGCTGGTTTCATCCCCAGCCGCCTGTGAGGGTCTCACATGGCGCAGCAGACCCTGCCATGCCCGCTGCTCCCCTCAGCAGTGTATTTTGTCAGTCTGCCTGTTCTGTTCTTCGCTCTGGCTCTGGTGAATTCTCTCACCCTCCCACGCTTCTGACTGTACCCAGTGCTTGTATGTATAAATAAATAAATCTTCAAAAAAAAAAAATTAAACCTACAATAGCTAAAAATCACAATGACCTCAAGAACCTGACAATACTGTCTATCACTGGAGCATTAAATTGGATGTAATAATGCCTGCAGGGAAATATGCAATCAACACTAACATATTCGGTGGAAAATTACGTACCAGTGAACTTGATCATTGCTTATTGTCCACAGGAATGCCCAAAATTTAGAGATACTGTAAATGGGTAAGATATTAAAGGTACTATAAATGGGTAAGATTAAAGGTAACATATTAAAGGCAGCCAGCATTATTACCTTAAACCAAAATAAGGTGGGACTAGACATCCTACTACTCATTTAAATTATGTGTTTAATAATAAGACACCCAACAATCCTGCAATATGTTAGTGTCTCAAAATCAGGAATCAGTAATGATATTGGGAAATTGGGGAGCAACTTGTGACTTTTGCAAAGGACACCCCTATGTGGACAAATGAGGTAGTATATGATGTTTATCCACAAGACAGCACCCAAACCCTTCCATTTTCACTATATTTCTGATTCTGTAGCTCAACGTAGTCCTGTCAAAGTTTCTTCTGAACCAAATTTAGAAGTCAACTGGTAAAGGGAGACAAATTTAGCAAACTTCCAAATAACTACTTTACTTCCCAACACAATGACAACTCTCTAATTTAGAAATATGCCAGGACAAATACTTGCTACCAATATGGGAAAGAGAAAGATGTTCTAAAATTACTTGCAAATAAAAATGGCAATACGTCAGAGGCAGTCATGAAACATTCAGCATATATAGTTTGGTCCTTTTTGCTGAATATTTTATGCTGTTATTCTTCACACTGAATATATCATCCTTAAATTTAAAAGGCACCCCATTAAATGTCTTTACCACTGATTCAGTGATTTTCAATACTGCTGCTAATACTATTAGAAGCAATTACTTCACTCACATAACTTATAATGGACTTAACTAGTGAGGACAAATGATGCACTACGGATATTCACAGTAGTGGATCTTTGCCCAAAAGCACACCACCCAATTTGAATTAAGACATATGAAAGAGAGGATGGCTGATGGAATCTTAATGTTGCCAGAAATGAACACAAAAGCAGTCCTTCTCAAAAAGTATATAGGTCTTTTAAGGCTATGGAAATACACTGCAGTGAACTGTTTAGAAGGCCTTGGTGGTGGCATATGTATGTATAGTTGCTAAGAACTGCACACCTGGAACCCATAGAAAAACTTGTAATTACCTCAATAAATTTAAAAAAATTTAATCTTATGTTGGTACAGAACCAAGAGGTCCTAATGAAATACAAGTGCAAAAATCCCCCCCGCCAACTAGTACCTGAAAAGCCATCCCTAATGGGGGTAACAGAGGAAAATTTGGAAACTCAACAAATTCAATTATTTGCAAGCCTCTAGTATCAACAAATAACAGGTTAAGTGATTTGATGTTACAGGTGTATACACTGATAACATGACTTAACAGGAGGGCAAATAGTTTGCTATTATTGACTTATTAGTGTCTGATTTCCCACAGAAAATTGATACCCAAAGCAAATAGCTGCACTATTGGACAACAAATTTCCAGATTAGTGGTCATTTAAAAAAGGGATACTGAATTTGTAATTTAATTGGGTAAACTGTACTGGGTACCTATTCATAAAGAATGATATAGCTGTACTAGGTAATAGATGGATTTGAAGTGATTAAACATTGCACCTAAAAGCACAACCGGCATAGCACCGTGTGCAAGTATACACACATTAATACAAAGGTCCTAGAATTAAAGACCCTTAAGATGCACTGCTTCTAAAAAGTGTATTTTTACTAAAACTCTAGACCCAAACATGGGAATGGTAGATTCCCAAAGGACAAGGTCATACAAAAACATAGAAAAAATATCCTTGTTTCTTATTTCCCCAGAGAAACCAAAATTAGACAAGTTATTATAATCACATGTATGGGAAGATACTTCATAATGCTGCATTTAGCTGCGAACTAAGTATTAAATCCCGTTCTGAAGAATCAAACTAGAAATAGAGAGTAGCACCATGTTTAAGATGTTTATCCTCCCTACTTTGGGACACCGATTCTCCAGCAGTTACTGTCAACAAAGCCCATACAGCAAGAAAGCACTCTCAATAGTAGTAGTACTTAGGAGGGGCAGATGGTCAATTAGAAAAGGAGTATGGCTTTAACATCCTTTCAAGAAACCAAAATAAAGCATTAATTGAAATCCTGTAAGACACCTTAGCTATAGTACAAATGTAGGAATTGTCAACAGAAACTTCACAAGACTAAGAAGTCTTGGGTATATTAAGAATAGGAAGTGGGGCCTCCCCGGTGGCGCAGCGGTTGAGCGCTGGGTTGCGAAGCTGCCCGCGGCCTCTGCGGCGCCGGTTCGATCCCCGGCTGCTCCCCGGCCACCGGAGGAAGATCCCACATGGTGCGCAGACCTCTCCTGCCACCCGCTGCTCCCCTCAGCAGTGTACTTCAGCCCCTCTGCCTGCTCTGCTCCCCGCTCTGGCTCTGGTGAATTCTCTCACCCTCCCGTGCTTCTGACTGTACCCAGTGCATGTATAAACAAAACAAACAAATATAATAAATAAATAAATAAATAAACATGCCTCTATTAAAAAAAAAAAAAAAAAGAATAGGAAGTGGCTACTAATAATATCAAGTCATATAACACAATAGAGACTAACTCGTAAAATACAAGCCAGTCCAACCGGGGATAGTTGAGAACCACAATGTTCAGAATGATTCCAGTTTGCTAAGTCAAGACAAAAAGTGCTAGTGCTGATACTAAAGCAGTTTCTCATCCACTGGCAGGAAAATTGCCCTCACAGTGAATGGGTGTTAATTCTATTGCAAACATATGGTTTCCAAAGAGCAAGGGCATTATGGGCAACAAAATATTAGAACCTTTTTACATATCAATGCTTTAAAATAGGAACTGATAGCTTTAAAGAATTTCATCACCTAAAAGATTGTTGCGTATGTTTGATATGTTTAGAACGTATTTGCTGACCTTCAGTTCAGAATGCCCACTTAAAGTTTTGCTGCCAAGCTTACTTTAGGGGACATGTTTACCAAATATTATCATTAGGCAATTCTAATTTCTTCTTCTTCGTCTTGGCTATGAGATGGGAAGCACACTGAAGTCCCACAAAGAGTCATGCAGAGACTAAGCTAGACCAGGATACTTACGTGTTTCTAGTCGACATGCTGCAGTCCAAGAGAGAGAAGTAATAAAGGTGAACTAACCTTGGCTTCCAATGATGAGATATCTGTGCTGCGGCATGGGGATCCTTAGAGTCAGTGAAACAGCCATGCTGGGAAATGTATTCATGAATCCCACCCATATACTCCAAGGACACAATAAAAAGAATTTATTCCCTCCCTTTCATGGTAAGCTTGCCCAGTTTGTAGTTCCCCATGCACCAAATGAAATGTTTTTCACTTAAAAATGCGATTTTGTGTACTAGAGTCTATAAATGACCATTTAGAAGGCGGTTTTATTCCTACCTCCACCAGCATGCTGCTTTTACAGCTTGAAATAAACCAATCTTTCCTTTCTTCCACTCTTAGCATGTGGTTGATGGCTGAGATGTGAACCAGTAAGTGCAAAACTTTCAGGGCCCTTTTAAAGACTAAGCACAGCACCTTAATCAAGGGACAGACAACTCAAAACAGGGTACTGAATACAACTAGAGGCACTATTATGGCTGGCAGTGATCAAAAATTACCCTCTATCAATGTTCATGGGCATTGCAAGGCTCTTCTGGCTAAGTGTACAGCAAACAAAAGGTATCAGGCTCATTCCTCCTCCCGATGAAAGCAGGGAATGTCTTTGTTTTCTTTATTGTCATTTTTTTCTGAATTATTCTTGAGGTCAATGTCTACAATCATCCTTCTTGCTCAAGACCATCTCACTGAAACCTTTACCCCATGTGGTCATAACATATAGTGTGGGATTTCTTAAATCTTTTATTTTGGAATCTCATCCAAACCCACCTAATTCTAGAGTATACACTGCATATTACACTTAGTTAAAAGGCAGTGAATCCTGGGCCTCACTGGTGGCATAAAAGGCTAAGCACAGCACTATGAAGCTATCTGCAGCCTCTGCAGCATGAGTTCGAGCCCCGGCCAGCCAGGGAGCTAACCACATGGTGCAGCAGACCTCTACTATCTTGCCCACCGCTCCCCTCAGCAGTGCATTTCAGTCAGTCTGCCTATTCTGTTCCCCACTCTGTCTCTGGTGAATCCTCTCACCCCCCACACTGCTGGCCTGTACCCCAGTTCTTGTATGCATAAATAAATAAATCTTAAAAAAAAAAAAAAGGCAGTGAGTACCCAAGATGAACACCAAGAGTTCAGCATAGCAGTATCTGCCTGGACAACCTTCTGGTCCCGATGAGCAGGAGCCAGTGAGAAGTATAGTTAATCCAAAAACATCCTACCTAGGGCTCCCTGGTGGTGCAGGCAGTTGAGCGCAGCGCTGTGAAGCTGTCCGCAGCCTCTGCAGTGCCGGTTCAATCCCTGCCAGCCTCGGAGCAACCCACATGGCGAGCAGACCTCTCCTGTCTCGCCCACTGCTCCCTTCAGCAGTGTATTTCATCAGTCTGCCTGTTCTGTTCCCCACTCTGTCTCTGGTGAATCCTTTCACCCTCCCGTGCATCTGGCCTGTACCCCGGCTCTTGTATAACTAAAATAAAATCTTTTAAAAAAAAATCCTATCTAAAAGGACAGCTGGAATGTCACCAATACATATGACAGGAGGCACTTAGGGGGACCCAGGACCTTGCCTACATAGTATATTGTTCCAATGGGAATCAAATTTTGGCTGTTGGTTCCTATTGTCTTATAGAGGCATTCTCATCTTTTGAAGGGCTGGCTTCCTGTATTAAGTGGACATAGTTCCAGTATCAATTAAAACTTCTCAGTAAGTTAAGTTCTTTTAACCTTATCCTCAAATGTAAAACATGGGAAATAAGGAGTGCTTACACTTACTGATGCAGATGATCTACAAACCTGTCTATAGGCTTATTTGCTGCTTAAATGTCCTCTACTTACCAGACAGCAAGATTCTTTGAGGCATGTGAAATCCACAAAAAATCTTAAAAGATTAAAAAAAAAACCACTTAACATACCAATCCCCCATTTTACTCTCCTGCTCTGCTCTCATCAACCCCCAAACTGAATGCAGTAGTAGGTACTCAGACAACAATGGTAGGATGCAGGCCGGACTGTCAATCCCAAGAAGCCAGGCAAAGGTAGAGAGGGCACTTGGATAGAATAATAAAAGCGCCTGAAGTTGGCACTTCTACCTAAATGAAGAAAATGAGATTTATGAACTGCATTTTCAACATAAGGAGCAGTCTGGAAATCAAACACGGAAGTGGCAAAGGACTAATTTCTTTCACAGTCACTGCTAATAACCATAGTGCCTGCTAAATAGGGCTTGGTAATAGAGCTACAGCCATCCCCAACTTTGAGGGCACTCAATAGGTTACAAAACCCTGTGTCCTTAAATACCTACAGGAAATATACCCTTACCTCCATGCTGCCCTGACACCTCCTCTGTTGCTCCCCATCAGCCTGACACCGCAGCCCCATTCCAAAGGAAACCACCCCTTCCCTACTTCTATGGTGGCTTTAACGACAGCCACAAGTTGTCACTCTCCCAGTGTCTGAACTCACACAGAGCATACACAATTGCTAACTCCTAAAATACACAGAACCAGAACTGGCGTAATGGGGCAGAGGTGGAGCTGGGTCTTGTCAAGATGGGGAGATGTGAATTTGGCTGCTGAGATCATATTTCTTCGTAAACTGATGCTCCATTTCTTGAAAGCACTATGCAGTCTTTTCTTCTTTGTAAGATTCCAGATGGATCCTCCATCCCTTGCCCTTTCCCAAACCCTTACATCCCCATTCCTAGCATCTCCTCTACTCAATAACTCTCAAACAGAATTCCAGCAGCCTCAACCTATGTGACAAGAGATGTTGACCAGCCTGCACTAATCTACACCTACTCCCCATTTTCAATTGTTTTTTAGTAAATAGGAGGTCATGACTCTAAAACCCCTGAAACATCTAAAGCAAATGTACTGGACAGGCTTATGTGATTTGCTAGAGGTTTTAATCGGGTTTGGGGAAGCCACTCCATACCAACCCCAGATCGTAATGCTCACACATAAACACTGATTGGGCCTAAACAGGCAATCTTCTATTCAGCTTTAATACTCCATAAAATATGCACTTGTATTCTTTCTGTCAAACCACAGACTCCTTACTTTAAGGCTCAAGAGGGGCACTGCCTAACCCAGAACAGCCTCTGGTGATAGCAGAGGGCCCAACAGGACTTGAATCCACTTCAACCATCATCTGAGTCACCAGCTCTTCTGAAGCAGCAGTGAGGTTGTTGACTATGGAAAAAAGTCTTATATCAAGTTGAGACCTTTCTCCTACCCTGCTCCTTGGACATGAAGGCACCATCCAAATTCTTCCTAGAGCTACCTTAAGGCTTGGTGTGAGGGGACACGAGGCATCCAGCAGAGACCAATGTAAGTAATTAATAGTGCCCGACATTTGACATTCCTCAGGAGTCAGCAGGCAACAAAGCGACATCCTGGACAGACTAACCTAATCCCACAGGACTGAAAATGCGAGAGTGGTGTGTAAAGTTAAAGATAAATGGGAGAAAGCTACTAAGGGCTCCCTAAATCATCCTGCTCACACCTTCTGGGTAGGTCAGCTCAAAATACCTGCTATCTAAAGCAAACATTCTTTTATGGAAAAGCTAAGTTGTTACCAAACTAGAGCTGAGTACCTGAGGTTAAAGCGTCATAGGCAGAAGCAGGGAGGCAAGGAACAGAACATAAATCAGAGTGAAAACAGGCCCAACACACACAACCACTATTTAAGAGATAAAAGAAGCCTTAAAATGATACAGGTGAAAAGACAGATATAGACACCACAGGGCACAAAACTCATTCTTAAAAAACTGTAAAGCCCTTCAGTTTTCTGGTTCTAGACACTGGCCTCAAAAAAATTAGAACACAGAAGCACCTTGTATCATACCACAAACTACAGTTGAGTTACTGGTGCTCCTGCGATCCCAGAAGACCATGGTCCCCACTCCGAACATTAATATTTCAAAAGAAGGATAAATGACCCCAACACTCACCCCATCTGTTTTGCTGAGAGTTCTTTATTGTATAAGCCTGCCGGTTTTTCTAGGCAGGTGGTTAAACTCTGAATATGAAGGAATGGAGACAGAGGAGGTGAGAAGAAAGATTATAGAAAAAAGGAAAAAATGTGAAATCTTTCAGATTAGAAAAAGAGAAGGGGAAAGAAGGGACACTAACTGCACGTCAGGGGAGGGAGAGGGACACATGAGGGCCCTGTGTACAGGGGCTAAGTGTATAGACCCTACGGAGTGATCACCTTGGTACAAATTCCTGTTCTGCAAATGACTTGCTATTTGACCCTTGACAAGTCAACTAGATTGTAAGCTTGCCTCGAGTTTCCTATCTGTAAAGTATGGATTAATAATATTCGTAAGCATGTAAAGAAAAGAGTTACTTTCAGGATGAAAAGCTTAATATATGAGCAGTGTTTGACAGAGTAACTATCCAATGAATGTTAGTTACTTTATCTAGAGTGCAGCAGTCTAGACCTATCAGTTACTGTGCTTTCTGTTTCAGTCCTGATATGAGGATATTACTCTCACTAGGGCCATGTTGCTACGTAAGAAACTGGATTCAGTTTTGTGCCTGGTATAAGGATTTATACACACTACAACCAATGTGACTTGCGCATGACTTGAACCTGAAAAAAAGCTAAGAGCTAGAAATTCAGAAACTTCAAGGACAAATCAAATTGGGATGCTTTTCAGTCCCAAAGAAGTTGCTAGAAAAGGAGCAAAAATACTACAGTCAAGCCTGAAGAAACAAGTCTGACACCCACAGCCCGCCCTCCTCCTACCCTGTTGAAGCAGGTCTCTGTCAGGGCAGTGAGCACTAACAGTCCCAACCACTGACACAGGAGAATCTTTGACGAAGTGACCATGCTCAATTCTCCCAATGTGCATAGAATTTTCTTTCCTATTAAAAAAAGCAAAAAAACAACACTTAGAAAAAACTGACTGGGTGGGAAAGCTAACTTCATTTCAGTTGTCTCAACAACTGCTTATCTGCCAAGGAACCAACCATGTGTATCCCTTAGACAAGTAGAAAAGTACATTCAGGTCATGTGATGCAGGCAAGCGCTGGGAAATTTTCATAGGTGTGAATGCAGACATATATATCCTGGATATATATGAGTTAATTATAACCTGAACAACTCGGGGCTTTTCTTGGAGTGTAAAGTGACCTGAATTCAGTCTTCAAATTCAAACGATAACTTAAAAGGATTCTGATCTCATTAAAATTATTTTCTCTCCAAATCACTTCTTATTACCTGTACAACATACCTATTGATACAAATGATAATTAACTCATTAAAGGATGCCAGGAAGAGAGTATCGGCAAGGCCCTTAGTAGATGATAATAAATGGGACCACATACATGAGATACTCAGTTTGGGCACAGTGAAGCTTTATTATCAATGGGTTTTCTTTAATATCAACCAATAGGACAATGCTGTATAAATTATAACTTATTCTGCACTTTAAATGAATAAAAATTCTCCCTTTTTACAGAAAGACAGCCCTCTTCCCAGCAACATCTCAGACTATGGGACAGAATGATTTCTCACCTGATAGGACTCCACATTCTTCAGTGGACAAGATGGGAAGTCAAATGGAGGTTGATAACCTCAAGGCAGAGAGGCCTGAATTTCCAAAGCTGAACCTGGAAAGAAACATCTAGGGCAAAACAGTTGACTTGATGGCTCACTGGCTCCCAGATATCAATCTATCCTGGAACCGAAAGGCAGTTCTCCACTTGGGAAGACAATGGAGTACTTTGGAACAAGTCTCGTTATATAGGGTTTCTTCCATGGAATGTGGTTAAGTTTCAAAAATATGTGCATAATAAAGTTGTTATGAAGGAGACATCACAAGAAGAAATACCAGAGAGGTCAAGGATAATTAGGAAAGTCCAAAAGAGGACTCTACAGTATTCTGGAGTATAGGCTTTTGCATCATAAGACATAGGTTCAAAAAGGGAATCTACCAGTTGGCCATTCTTAGCCAACTTCTTTTTTTAAAAGATTTATTTATTTATTTGTTTGTTTATGCATACAAGAGCTGAGGTATAGGCCCGAGGTGTGGGGGGTGAGAGAATCCATCAGAGACAGAATGGGGAGCAAAACAGGCAGATGTACTGAAATGCACTGCTGAGGGGAGCAGTGGGCGAGACAGGAGAGGTCTGCTGAGCCATATGGGTTAACTCCCTGGCCAGGGATCAAACTCATGCTGACAGCTTGGTAGTGCTGAGACTTAACCCTTTGTGCCACCAAGGAGGCCCTCTTAGCCAACTTCTAAAGTTGGTTTGATAACCTATCTTTGAAATGTAATAAAAGCAATACTAACACTAGTGATGGTGTGATTAGTACATCAATTGAAAGCAATTAGAACAGTTCTAGTTTTGGCTATTTCTAAAATGAGCTGACTTTAGAAGAATATGGTGATTTTCAAAGGTCATTTCTATATGGTTGATTGCATCGGCCTTGTTTGAAAATCAGATGTGTAGACATGGTCACATCCAAGTGATGTGACTAGAGAGGCACCTTAGTTGACCCTGACATAGGCATTCTGTAAACTCTTCTGCCTCCCTCACAACTGTGCTGATCCAGCATTTAAACATAAAAAATTCTTAATAAGAGTTCTTGATGTGGCCTCCCTGGTGGCGCAAGGGGTTAAGCACAGCACTGTGAAGCTATCCGCAGCTTCTGCAGCACTTAGATCCACGACCAACCAGGGGGGTGACCCACATGGCGTGGCAGACCTCTCCTGTCTCACCCTCTGCTCCCCTCAGCAGTGTACTTCAGTCAATCAGCCTGGTCTGCTCCCCACTCTGTCTCTGGTGAATCCTCTCACCCCCCCACACCTCTGGCGTAGACCCCAGTTCTTGTATGTAAAAGAGGTTTTTTTTTTTTAAGATTTATTTTATTTATTCATACAAGCACTGAGTACAGTCAGAAGCACGGGAGGGTGAGTGAATTCACCAGAGCCATAGTGGGGAACAGAACAGGCAGAATGACGAAGTACACTGCTGAGGGGAGCAGCGGGTGGCATGAGAGGTCTGCGCACCATGTGGAATCCTTGCCTGGCAGCCAGGGATTGAACCAGCACTGCAGAGGCTGCGGGCAGCTTCGCAACCCAGTGCTCAACCACTGCGCCACAGGGGAGGCCCTGTAAAAGAGTTCTTGATCTTCATAGGAGTAGTCACCATGGGGCACTGAAAAAAATCTCATTTTTGTATCTCACTGAAATATCATTGATACAGATCATGAGATAGACTCTACAGAGCAGGGCCTCCCTGGTGGTATAGGGGTTAAGTCTCAGCACTATCATGCAGTCACCGCTGTAGCCTGAGTTCGATTCCCCGCCAGGGAGCTAACCTAAATATGGTAGCGCAAAAGACCTCGCCTGTCTAGCCAGCTGCTCCCCTCAGTAGTGTATCTCAGTAAACCTGCCTGTTCTGCTCCCCACTCTTTCTCAAGTGAACCCTCTCACCCACCCCCCCATACCTCTGGCCTACATCCCAGTTGTTCTATGCATAAATAAAAAAATTCTACAGAGCAGAGATTCTGGGGCCCAAGGGATATGAAAAAAGAAGGGATATTAGAATTTGTTTCCTAAGCATTAAAAGTGAGTTAATACACACCTGGAAGAGTGTCTATAACTTACTAAATGCAGGGTTGATGTTCACTATTGTTATCAAAAACCATTATAAAAAAGGTTATTGCATAAAATGGACTGCTGTATGGAATAGAGCAAATAAGAGATGACCAACAGGCATTTAAATAAGGAATAGCTGTACTTGGTAGAACAGTACTGGAAAAAATAGTTTTAAAAGGGTAAAATCACCTTGTAACAATTAAAAGTGTATCATTTAGTGAAAGCACTAAACAGAGCCATCTTACCATCAGGCTAAAAAAGGAAAGCAACAAGTGGTGAGTGACAGCAGAGCACAGGATGAATGCTTGTCAAAGGGGAGTGTGAATTAGTGTGGAGATCTGTGAGGCTATATTATGAACAATATCTGTTTCTTAAATGTGGGTCTAATTACTTTATTCTTGTCTTTGGCCATAAGAAGTTGCTAATTATGAGATACAAAACAAGAAAAAAAAAAACAAGTTCAGAAATATCCAGGGAGATACACTGATACATTGTATTGCTCATATTTAAGTTTTGTTGAAAAACAAAAAACTAAAAATAATCCTAATGTTTGAAAAAAGAGGTAAATATTGCAAAAAGAAAAGCATGGTCCAAATGAGAGATTTATATGCATCCATATTTGTTGCATTGGCAACACCAAACTGATAAAAAAAAAACCAGGAGTCATGGAGCAGGCTACACAATGCAGGATGCTGCTGAACAAGCAAGATTCTGACTTTTTTATTGATAGAATATCATACAGCATCAAGTATGTAGGGTAGGAGAAAAGAGAGAAAAAGAGTGGTGAAACTGAACATGTGCTTCTCTCTTCTAGGGCTTTAAGAGGACATGAGTCTGCTGACCAGGTATTTTATCTGCTTGATGACCCGGTGTTATAATTGAAACCATACCCCAGGCCCCAAGCCATGGTTCTAAACTTATCAACAAGGCATTCCACTGATCAGTCTCTGGGGCACATGGTTACACATCAGTCAACACGCCCTCCACCCTCGAGTTCCTGGTGATACTTACTGATATATGCCCATTACCCCAGGGTGATCAAGCATCCTGCTCTCACTTACTTTGAAAGGAGCCTTGTGGGGTCTGGTATATTACATTCTTTTAGGTCATATAACTGACTAAGCTGTTCTGATCTTGTATTGGAGGGCAGACTGCACTTAAACAAAATGGTGGCCAAGCAGGCTGTTTAAGTCTAGACTCCCACATATTTAAAGGTAGGAAAATGTTTCTGTTAAGAGCCATCTAAAAATGTTATTAATGTAATCATACTAGAGAGAAATGTACCAAAAATCTGAGTGATTCTGCATATTTTTAAAATTTTGCTGTTTTTATTTCAAAAATTGTTTAGAATGAATACCTATGCTTGTATAATTTTTTTAATACACTGTATTATGGGGGCAAGAAAACAATTCTTTGATTAATATAGATTTGAACTTATTTCTCCCTAAGAAACTGACTAAAGGCGCTTAGAAAATATGAAGGGAAATAAGACGGAAAAAAGAAAGAAAAGAGCAAATGTTCAGGAAGTGGACAATTTTACACAACATACTGACCTACATTAAAAACAATACTTAAAGAAAAATATTTTTGAAATCAGAAAAAATGTTTACCTTATTAGTGTTAGTGTTTAATTTTAATCCAGGAAAATAGACAAATAGATGCCAAAGGTATCATAGGTAGATAGGAAAACATTTTGTTAATTTTTGGATAGCCTGTGCTAATTTTAATAAGGATGCCTCATATAATTCCAGTGGACAACCAAAGTTGTATCTTAACACTCCAGAGACGATTTCCAGATTTGTATCCCAAGAGTTAAATAATTCTCTGCTGTACAGTTTTTGCTATCACCAAGGGAATTAGCTAGATAAAACATGGCAACAATCAACCAGACCATTCTATGCATGTTCTAGACCTGCACTATTCATTTGCGATACACAAGCATACTATATACTTCGACAAGAGTGTAAGGAGAGACCAAAACAATCAGAGGCAAGGTGATGATAGAGCAGAGATGCAGAGCAAACACCATCAGTAAAAGAAACATGGAGTGTACTCCAGATGCCACCACTTCCTGATAGCTTTCTAGTTTCCCATCCCAAAGAGGCAGCCATTCACTAGTCCCTTGGGTGGTTTCTAGTAAAGTCCCTATCTATCTTACTGCTCACTAGCCCTTGAAACCTTGTAAATTATGATCTCATTGGCTTTATCATTTGTGTTTTTCTTAACAAAACCCTACTCAAGTTAGAGGAAAAATATAAAAATGTATAATAATCTAGTCTTTCTCCCCTGTTGGTAACACAGAGTTCCAAAATAAGAGAGAAGGAGGTGTCTTTTGTTATTCATAAGAAACCCCTTTTGACTACCCCTGTTCATGGGGCTCACGGTGGGCCCTCAGATAGTTCTGAGAAGGAATAGCCTTGAGAGGGACCAAACATATGATTAGAAAGTAGGAACTTTTAGGGCCTCCCAGGTGGCGCAGCGGTAGAGCGCTGGGTTGCGAAGCTGCCTGCGGCCTCTGCAACGCTGGTTCGATCCCCGGCTGCTCCCCGGCCACCGGAGGAGGGTCCCACATGGCGCGCAGACCTCTCCTGCCGCCCACTGCTCCCCTCAGCAGTGTAATTCAGTCCTTCTGCCTGCTCTGCTCCCTACTCTGGCTCTGGTGAATTCTTTCACCCTCCCATGCTTCTGACTGTACCCAGTGCATGCATAAACAAAACAAACAAACAAATAAATAAATAAAAACATGCCTCTAAAAAAAAGAAAGTAGGAACTTTTAGTCCCACCTCGCAGACCTCCATGTCTGGAGAGGGGCTTGAGACTGAATTTAACCAAGTGGCCAATGACACAATAAGACACCAATAACACCCTGGACACCCAGAGCTGGAGGAGCTTTCTGGTTGGTGAACACTGATACACTGTAAGTCCCAGGGGGGAGAACATGGAAGCTTCTTACCCCGGATCCCCCTAGACCTTAACCCATGCATCTCTGATTTGGCTGTTTCTGAGTGTATCCTGTATAATAAAACTGTAACTTTAAGTACATCACTTTTTCAGGGAGTTCTATGAATTGTTCCATAAAATGAACAAATCTGAGATAGTCATGCGAACCCCTGAACTTTTAGCCAGTTTGTCAAAAGTAGAAGTGGTCCCAGAATTGGCTGAAGGGAAGGCAGCCTTAAGGAGGACTTGTGGGGTTTGGCACTGAGTTAGCATCAGAATAGTATTTGCAGGAGAGCCAGGTAGTGTCAGAATATTATCAATTTCCCATTGTTAATCTTTCACACCTAACTAATTAATAACTTTTCCCCAACATAATGTTTTCATAAAACAAAAAACAAAAAAACGCAGGGTCTCCCTGGTGGCACACGGGGTTGTCTCAGCACTATCAAACTGTCAGCAACCACTGCAGCATGAGTTTGATCCCTGGCTAGGGAGCTGCCCACATGGCACAGCAGACCTCTCCTGTCTCACCCAGTGCTCCCCTCAGCAGTGTATTTCAGTCAATCCATCTGTTCTGCTCCTCACTCTGTCTCTGGTGAATCCTCTCAACCCCCACACCTCTGGCCTGTACTCCAGTTCTTCTACGCAAAAATAAATAAATACAATCTTAAAAAAAAAAAAAACAAACCAAAATGAACACTGTGGTGTATAGACATCAACATTTTAACTTAACCTGAAAAACACAGCAGAGATTACAGCAATGCCTCCCATTTCTGCTAGAAAGTCTAGGTAAAAGAAATTATGAGCCAGTAAAATGAGTTGTCCCAAGTCCTGTTTAAAGAGGTGGAGTAAATCATGGACTGGCTAGTCCTGTCCAAACAATTCGGCCCACCAGGATGGCCATCTGGCGCCATGATAGATAAAAAGTGTTAGATCCTGACTAATGATTATCTTACAAATTCCTGGAGGGAGAAAGCCCAGAGCCCACTTCTGCAGCTGGAATGTAACTGGCCTGTGCTTGCCCAGGCAAGCCCAGCCCCAACAAGCTATGCTGCTGCTCCCCTCCTGCCCTTTAGACATGTCTTTTTTTCCTTGTGCAAACTTTAGAAAAACTGTGTATCCTTATTATGCCACTGCACTAAATTGTAGCTATGAGTGCAATTTTATGCTGAGCTCTGTGATTTAGTGACCTTCAACACACCATCTGTTTTTTGAATTTGTTGCCAAATCATATAGGCAACCTTTATTTTCTTCTGGCTTTCAAACAAAGTGCAAATAGTTTTTACTACCACAATTAAATTTAACACATTATAATGCATCATTTACATTTATAGCAATTAGATGTTTTTGCTTGTAACTCATCTGTCACATTTTTCAATCACTGAATTTAGAACTGTCAATACAGGAAATTACATCTACAAAACATACTCCCAGCTCAGTAAGTACTTCTGACTTGAAACAAAATGTCAAGTTGGTTTTTAAGTAAAACAATACACTGTCCTAAGCAGGCACGTTTTTTTCTTTTTTGGAGAGGGTAATTTTCTTCAACAACAACAACAAAGTACATTTGTTTCCCAAACTTGTTCCCAGTGAGGTATTTTTCTTCTTTAGTGATGCAGAAGTTCTTTTAGCTCTTAGGCCGTTATTCTCAGCTAAAATATTCCTTATATCCTACTTTCTGTTAATGCTATTACTATCAAGTTCCAGGCTACTAAAAGCAGGCACTCATATTTTTCAATTACAAATACTTAATGCTGTTTTCTCTACTTGAATGTCTTGAGTATGAAAATCCCTTGGTGGTCCAATTGTGCCTCAGGACCAAGAAAAAGCACTTATAAGCTGCTCTGTCAATTGACCAAAGTAACTCCCTAAGTACAATTAGAAATCGATGGAATTTCTTCTAACAAACTATAACCACTGATTTTTATTCTATGGTTATTCGCATTCTCTTTTCTAATACCTCCAAATGTATACTCAAGCTTGCACCTACTGCCAGGAGCATGTCCCCACTATCAATCATTTTGTTAGGCTCTTTACCATGAGAGCGAACCACACATACTTCAGGGCTCTCAGAGAAGTCACTGAAGCGTCTGTGACTAAAAATTATGATTGATAAGAAGATGATGAGTCAACTGTGCAAAGAGAAATTACAAGGGAATTCATCATAGCCGACAAAACGAGAGGTAAAAATAATCTTAACATGCCAATTTCTTAATTCACTACAGAAAACATACCCATCAATGTAATCAGTATACTTTTTTCCACAGGAAGAGTATATTCTTTTCCTATAGCCAAATTATAATCATAAAATTTGCTTAGTCAGCACAAAATCTAAACAAGTGGCATAATTAGATAAAATAAATGCTCAATAACAAAGACAGCTCAACATTCAAGTTTATACAAGTTTAACAGTACTTTTAGCTAAATGTGGGGTTATACTTTTCTTGACTATATTCTTTATCCCTTCTAAGTTATGCAAATTGTTTACAGTACCCCTTTATAACCAGAAAAAAATAACCATTTTGAAATAAGCTAGGAAAAATAACCAGTTATTAAAATAGAAATATTTAATTGTGGCTACATATAATTCTGGCATAAAATACCTAAGGAATAACACAAATACTGGTGGTCTACATGATGAAAATTAGGATTATTAGAAGGACAAAAAAGAACTGAATGAACAAACATGTTCATTCTTTTTTTTTTTTTAATTTTTATTTTATTTATTTATTTATTTATTTATTTATACAAGCACTGGGTATAGTCAGAAGCGCGGGTGGGTGAGAGAATTCACCAGAGCCAGAGCGGGGAGCAGAGCAGGCAGAAGGACCGAAGCACACTGCTGAGGGCAGCAGCGGGCGGCAGGAGAGGTCTGCGCGCCATGTGGGACCCTCCCTCAGGTGGCGGGGGAGCAGCCGGGGATCAAACCGGCGCTGCAGAGGCTGCAGGCAGCTTCACAGCCCAGCGCTCAACCGCTGCGCCAGCAGGGGAGGCCCCAAACATGTTCATTCTAAACAAGTGAATTTATAAATCAAATGCTATTACACTATCCCCAAGACAAAGTAGATTTTTACAAAGTAATTCTGAATTTCAAGTTAAGAATGAATTGTAGGGCCTCCCCTGTGGCGCAGTGGTTGAGCGCTGGGTTGTGAAGCTACTTGTGGCCTCTGCGGCGCTGGTTCGATCCCCAACTGCTCCCCTGCCACTGGAGGAGGGTCCCGCATGGTGCGCAGACCTCTCCTGCCGCCCGCTGCTCCCCTCAGCAGTGTACTTCGGTCCTTCTGCCTGCTCTGCTCCCCGCTCTGGCTCTGGTGAATTCTCTCACCCTCCCGTACTTCTGACTGTACCCAGTGCATGTATAAACAAACAAATAAATAAAAAACATGCCTCTATTAAAAAAAAACTAAAAAACTGTTTAAAAAAAAAAGAATGAATTGTAAAACAGTAGCTAAGGAAATATTGAGAAAGAATAAGTA